AGAGAACGTGTTGATAATGAAGCCAAACAAGAATGTAATGCTTTTATGGTATGTACCCCCTAGGAGCCATAAATACTTCAAAGTTCCAGCTTGACCATCAACTCTAATGGAAAGATGTCCCACCTACCAGCCTACTCCAACTCCCCAAGCAGATCAAAGAAAATGCAAATATATATATTCAATACCAAATTGATATCGAGTTCTTCCCCTGTTTATCTGTGTGGTAGGTAGGCGTTTTATTTACAGCCATTCTGCCACTCTCACCTTGGCCATTATTTTGCACTGGGCCCTTTTGCCATTCGGCCGAAGCCAATGCAAACTAATTAGCATAAAATTGAAAATGTTCTTGCATTTACTTGGCTGACTATAAAAAAAACAGCAAAGAGGGAAAGGAAAAAGAAATGAGATGAATACGCTTTGCGAATCAAGTGCAGTTTGATGAAACTGCGATGCTAAATGGCCGAAAGCCGTATCCAGTTTTACTATAGATCATATCACACACATCGTCACATCCAGTCATCCAGTCAATCGTGGTAAAAAGAAAGAGTTTGGGTAGCGAAGCGATCAACATAAAACAATTACGCCTACACTTGCTTGCTGCCTCTTTTTTGTTCAATTTTCCTCTGTTTTCGCTGCATGTGGATGTCGATGATGATGATTATGTGCGGATGAGGTTGTGGAGGAGATCGGTCGGCGGCACTTTTGCACTGCACGACCTTCCTTGGAATCCATTTGCTAGGAAGCAGCGGGTGCAGTGAAAGAAATCATGCACAGTTGTCATCAATTTCGGACCTTCGGTGAGACTTTCCTCCTTGCAAACTAAAAATAACATACTAGGATATCGCCTTAAATAATATAATACAAAAAGAATTACGCAATGAGTCACATAATTGTTGGTAACACATAATATATGCTAAAAACAATATTTTCTGTTATTATTCAGAGCGAAATAGATCCTATCCCTTTAGGATTCGCACTTGGATTTATACATTTAGCCACATACCTTTAGGAACCTTTGTGGAAGAAAAAAGCAGATATTTTGAAAAATTAGTAAGTGCATTTTTGGGGTTTGTAATGCGAATTAGCTTTTTAAATTCAAAATCAAAATGAAAATGTAAAGCAGCATATGTAACTTTTCAATGCCCACTATTTCTCTCAGTGCAGCCTTCTGTGCGCTATATTAAGGCTGATTTTCAGTGCCCAAAACGGATTCCAGTCGGAAGCTGTAAAAGACTACTTCGGCCTTCTGCGGCAGGCTATGAAACACAGTATTCATTAACTTAGGAAGCATTAATGCTGGGCCCCAAACTGCTTTATGTAGCTCCATCTGCCGCTCTAAGATGTCTGCACTGGGTGGAGTGGGAATGGGCGCTCTATGTGCATAAATGCAACCTGAACGGTGTGCCTGGGTACGGTGTGTTGGTTACTTCGTAGTGGATACTGTACTGCACACTGGATACTGCACACTGGATACTGGATACTGGGTACTGGATACTCAGTGCCGAGTACTGGATTCCTGGTTTCTGGACGGGAGGAGAGGCGTTGAAGTGGCGTTGGTGGGTCTTGTGGGATTGGCTACAAGTTCATTTTTTATGGTTTTCTTTTCACGGTTCTCCTGGGACGTAATAATGCAGATATTAAACCTAGCGTTTAGAGGTGCTTCTCAGATCTGTAGCCCATTTGCCTGTTCGGAAAATCGCAAGATCATTTCATTGATGGATTTGATTGGCAATAGAATGGAGCTATCACTGCGGACGGCCATCCAGTTGGTAATGAAGCATATCAAAAGTGTGTTTATAGTTGAGAAATAATAGCGAGAGGATTGTGCATCTGCACTTTCTAATCACAGTTTTCGCATTCATTTCAAGAACGGCTTCTTTGATTATATTTTTATTTTCGCGAATACTTGGCGGGCTTCGCATTGCAAATTCCGCTCGCAACATAAAAGATATTGTCAAAAACCCATTAAAAATTCAAATAAACTTAATAATTTGGCAATCACGAACATAAATTGAGGCCTATTTGAAATTCAACTGCAATCCTGTGGGCCAAAAAATGCAATACAAAAGGAAGACAAATTGGTAGCACAACAAACAGGGCAGCAAAGCCATTAAAATAATAAGGTGTGGTGAGATGTTAGCCCGCAACCAAATGCAATTAGAAGGACACTTGGATAATACAGGTAGCTTCTTTGTGTCCACATATGGGTAGCCAAATGCAAAATGCATGCGGCTCGGGACAATAACATCAATTTCCTGTTAATGTTCATATTATGAATTGGGGGTACAAAGCAACAGCAGCAGCAGCAGCAGCAGCCGCAGCACAGCAAGCAAATTTAATTGAGCCCAATGCAAATTATGGTGAAGAGAATTTTCCCACAGATCGCCAAAGGTTTTAACGATACTTTTTCACTGCCTCTTTTTGACGTAATGAGCCTTAAAGTCAAACGTAGACCTGACAGCTCCAATGGCTTAAACGTAGCACAGAAGCTGCAACTAACCACAAATCACAGTAACTCCATAGCCTGGGCTCGGTTTTGGTTTTGGTTTGGTTTGGGTTTGGGTTTGGGTTTGGTTTGGGTTTTGGTTTGGGTTTCGGTTTTGGCTTCGGCCATGGCTCGCAGTTTTGGGATTCGGGACCTGCGAGATTGCGTTTTGGCTCAGACTTAGCTGGGAACTGAAACTCCTAACTGCGAGAATATGGGAAGTCGGCGCAACGCATAATCATTATCACTTAAATTGGGGGCCCACCTAAATTGGTCGGCATACGATGCGATGCGAAGCGAAGCGATCCGATACCAATATGCAAGCATATCCATGGAGCATCCATGGCCAGGCCAACCCCAAGACCAATTATGTGGGTAAAGCCAAAGTCAAAGTCGCTGCTAATACCAAAGGTAAAGCCAAAGCCAAAGCCAAAGACGAAGAACGAAGTTCCCCTCCTGTGAAATAAAAAAGTATGTATGCATATGAGGCTGATGCGATACGCCGGCACCTAAAACACCACAAACCAGACATCCAGTCCATGAGTCCATCAGTCCACAAGTCCATTCGCCATCGAATCGCCCAATTCGAGTACCGTAACCGAACCCCCGAATTAAGCGAGCCAGGGAAATGTTAAACTCTATGCGACCATCGCGATTGATTGGCCGACTAAATCCTGAAACCATCATTACGCGCAGATTGCCAGTTAAGCGAACGGAGGCCATGCCCTTGGCATTGTCCACGGTTCTCCGAGGGGCATGCCACAAATCGCCTTTTGAAACAGTTCTCACACTAATCCAAGCCGACAGGATGGTTCTGTTTTGGCCTGCAAAATTCCGGGTAATTGCTTAATATCGGGGTCATAAATAGAGCAGTATATTATTTTAAAATACAACAACAACCCGAGTATTTTTGGGAGCGAATCAGTTGAATTGAGTTCGATTCCATAGTGATTTCAAACTAAAATTAAATGCATTTTTGAGAACACAAACCTAGCTCATAAACCTTTCGTTGCGATTAATCTAGATTAATCTAGCTATTAATTTAGCGAACAAAATTTAAAAAAAAAGTGAGAACGCTGCAGACCTGCTCGACTATCAGATACCCGTTATATACTCAGCTAGTGGGAGTGCAAGCATAAATGTATCAAATTGAAAAACAGTTTTGCAAAATTAGGAGGATAACGGATTCTCATTGCTTGTGGGCGTGACAAAACTTTTTAGCGTATCAATAGAAATTCCCAAAATAAACTACACAATAAACAAAAATTATCCAAGCTGCGGACGCTAGTATAAATGGCACGACTTTAGCTAGCCCCAAAAATATAGTAAATAAATATAAAATATTGATTGTGTAACATACTTTTTCGAGTGTGTTTCGGTTAAAGTACAATAGATGGCGGTGAAGAAGTCTCCAAAAATGGCTACTACGCAGCGCTTTTGCAGAACTGCACCTTGCGGCAGGATGGCGCTTTTGGCATTTCTATAATTTTTACAAGAAATCGACGCACGGTGTAAAATGGGTTACGAGCGTTGCCATACCAACTGCTTTTAAGCAATTTTAAGCCATGCCCAGCTTATATTAAGAAAATACTATATTCCTAGGAAAAGTCTTATCTAAATTGAATTTATATAATTTTACAAAAAACTTGATTTAAATTTGCTCCGCATCACATGGTGACTAAGGTAAACAATTTTGAAGTATGATCAATAATTTACGTGATTGCTGAATACTTTGTAAAATTGTGAGTATTTCCATTTAGCATGTTATATTTTGTATATTAGAAAATACTTGAGCTTTATAATATCGTTCTTATTCCATGCTGCTGGCAACATCCCCAGTCGCACTTATGGTAACGCCTTAAATATCTTCACTTGGAGAAGAAGAACCAAAATAAACAACACTATAAGAAATACAGAGTATAATTGTGTACACCAAAAGTTCACATTGTCTTTTGAAGCGGCCAAGTATATTTTTTGTTCATCGACAAGGAATTTCTACTGGCGTATTAAGAGGAAATTGCTATTTATGCATCTTATGTTATAAAGATTACATATTTTCTTTTCTTTTTTTTATATAAAAATTGACGAAAATAAAGTAATACTATGATTAATTTTATATTTTAAAATGTAAGACCATTTCCCCCTTTTTTTCGGTGTAGGTCAGGTCAGCCGGAAATCTTAGCTTAAACCCGAACGAAATCCCGCCAGTCCGGCAGCGCTGCAGATAGAGCGATACATTCGACTCTCTGCGCATGCGTTTTTGCCGCTTACTGTTCGACGTTTGAGCTGAGCGGAGCGGAGCGGCACTCAAAACGCTTTGAACTATTGTGGTGAGCGGACGTGTTTTTGTTTAGTTTTCCCGTTCCCGAACGCCGGAGTACTTTTTTGTTGTTAAGTGCGCGTCGTTGTACCGCCGCTATTGTTCACGTTTGTTTAGGTAATTGTCGTTAAATAAAGTCAAATACAATCACACCGAATGTTCGGATCGTATCTGTATATTGGCCCTGTACGTCTACCGTCTTTGCATTTGTGTGTTATATTTACTTTTCCATCAAGTACGGCAAAATATTCGACTGTTTTCGGGCTTTTGGCTTTGTAACACAATGTACGATGTACGGCGAAATTAATAATACTCAAAACAGAGAAACATAAAAACAGTGGTGGATTCGTTGGTTCGGTGGGGGGAGGGGTTTTTGGGGATCTCAACCACCGATTGTTTATAGTGGTTGTGTGAGTAAACGAACGTTAGTGCGAGTGTGTATCTGTATCTGTATGATTTTGTATCTTTTTTTTGGTTTTTGTTGTATTTTGTTGTATTCGTGAGTGAGTGCGGGTTAAAGCAAGAGTTTGTGAAAAAGAAAAAGCAATAACGTTGGGGGTTTTCTTCAAGACCAACTGGGATCTGGGATGTTCTTATTGGCATCTGTCAGTTGCTGCGCGGTGAATGAACTCCAATCCGAACTTACACTTTGGCCGCCTTGCTGCCAACCCAACGGAAAAAACGAGGCGCATTAAGCATTAAACATAAAAAAAATTATATGTATGTAAAAAAAAAGAAGGAAATAACCAAAGCAAGCACAAACTCAACTCAAACCACAAAATGGTGGCAGAGACACACAATTATGGCTTATTTTCGAAATATTAACCCAACTGTGCGCAACGGCAATAGCAACAGCAAATAACCATAACAATGACGAAAGCAAAAAGCAGAAAGCAAGAAAGCCCAGTTCCGACCAGAAAAAGCAAGAGCAAATGAGAGCAGCGGCTGCAGTTTAATGTCTTTCCCAGTTGCCTTCAATACGGGCTCTTCCCAATCGGACACTGATTCATTTTTGGGAACACGAAATCGAAAATCTCTTTGGAACGAGACTCCATGCGGAATTAGGGATGCAATTCCCAATTCCGTGGTGGTAAGGGTAACTGTATGCCATAAATCGATTCATGCTATGGGCTGTAAAGGTACACTGGAGAAAATAGCAAACTGTTCCAAAATACATTCAAATTTATGAAATTCGAATTACGAATTTCCATTTTGGGTGCATAATATCTGAATTTTACAAATTTTGTATTTTTATAATAGACACAACTTCTTATAAACCTTTTTCAAAACCTACCCAGTGTAGAGTTTCGTCCAGTTTTCTTGTGAGTTGTTCACGGGGTTATTTCTCCCAAGACATATGTACATATGTATGTACATACATATGTATCGAGTATTGAGTGGGTGCAGTTTTTCATGCAAAATAATCTTGTTAGCGCCAGCGCATCCAAATTTCGCAAGTTCGAGACCCACCGTGTAAATATACATACACATGTGTTAAATATTTCGGCTTTGACGTGGTTTCCTTAAATGGCTTCATGGCTCAGCATCTAGATCGTCCGGCTTTTGGGAAAAGACCAACTGCATAATAACTTGAAAGCAACATTTATGGTAAAATAACTTGTATTTCACTAAACCTAGAATAGCATCCAAAATGCTTTGCGCTTTAACAACATATCAATTTCGCGGTCATTCCATTGCTATATTCTATGCAAACTTACGCTTACGTATGTATGTACGTATTTGGCGTAAATTAACAACGTGGAAAATTGTACAATTTTTTTTATTTTTTTTTGAACAGATACGTCTGGCTGTGAAGGCCTCTGATTGGATCTCTCCATCCCTCTCTTCCGCTCTGATTAGAATTCAAATTACTATAAGCGAGTACTGTGGCGGGCATTGCGCGTGTATTGGTGTGCTTGCTTAGATAATGGGTACTATCTTATCAGAGGGCTTAATCTTTTGCATGCCGAAGGCGAAAAATAAAAGTAAAAACGATCGAAACGACACAGCTGCCCGGGGAAACGTACTAACAGGCTTTACTTTAACAGAACACCGATCGAATGTGCATTTAGTATGGCTCAACCTTCGAAATTACTCACAGCCACAACCTTTTGTACGTATGCATGTATATAATACATACATGTGTGTATCTTGCCAACATGCGAGTTTGGCAAGACGATGGCGAGGCCCTTGCTCAGCGAAAAAAATAAGCCGGGAAAGAATTAGGCTCGGGATGACCGAATTGTGGATATCCTCTCGCCACAAGAGCGCAATAATATTCGCTAAGATATTTGCCTACCCCAGTGCGCAGTGAAGCATTCGCTAAAATCGAGAATAGTACTATCTCGTTTACTTTATTTCAGGGCATTTAGCTGCCTATGATACATTGAATTTATTACATCAGTCTTATCTAAGTTATCAAAATTCGTGAGAATATCATGAGAGCCACCGTACACATATGCACATGAATACGAGTGTATGTACAAATTTACTCAAAACTGCTCGTTTTCTTTTTAATTGCCTTTTTGCCACCATTTCGGTTGGCTTCTTGCGTAGCTTCACATTTGGCTTCAGTTACTTTTAGAGTCTGTTGCTCAAGTTACTGATCATGATGATGATGGTGATGATGATGATGATGATGATGATGGCGATGAGGCAACCCTTTTCAGGCCTTATTAGACGATGCCGACATGCGGTCGGCAAGATCTACAAAAGTCAGTCAGTTCTCAAATTATCGCAGCCGGCTGCTGTATTCAAATCAATTGGAAAATCAAATGCCCCCGCATTCAGCGGTTTGTGGGCCGGCACACTCATCAGATGTCACGTAATTTTCTATGCAATAATTGCTGCAACTGAGTTCAGCAGTTTCTCTGCCAGATAACACGATATCTCAACCCGACTCCGCCGTTGCATTTGACACGAGGTGGCAATTGTCAGTGGGTTAGTAGACAATATGCTTAATCGGGCCAGCAAACCGCAGTTCTGCGAATTTGATACCGGCCAACGCTAATAACTGGGTTGCGAGCAGAAAAAAGCAAATATTGATTTTTCAATGGGAAACGATTTGCAGCCGAATTGGAATCAGCAAGCAGCGATTTGAACTACAGAAATCAAGAAGTACTATCAGCACGATATCATTTTCTGCACATGATAATTATATGATGTGCTAAAAACTGCCTAAAAGTTATGATAGTTCAAAACTCTACTTTATTCTTCCCTTTGTACATGTGCACTTTTAGTACCGTCATTCACCCATAACGATTACACTAATTGCTATCTGGGGTAAATACAAATCTGTGGCAGAACTGGACTGGAAGAGCTTTGCGTGGCACTCATGTGTGCTTGTATTTTAAGAGTGCCGGTGCCGGATACAAAAAGCCTAGTCAAGTGCCATTGGGGGCTATTTGACCTTTTTTGGGGCGCGGGTCAGTGGGGGGGCTTAATTAAATGATCAACTCAAGTGAAATTCCCGAGACGCAGATATCTGCCTGGCATGTGTGTGTACTCGTCTGTATATGGTACACACACTCGATCGCACTTACATTCAAATGCTCTTTCATATGTGTGCCTGCCTTTTATTGAGGTCGATTGTTCATTTATCGTCAATGTCAGTCGTCAGGTGGCCTGCGTGCATGTTTTGTTGTTTTTACACATTCCCTAGCAATTTGTTTACGTTTTGCGATTTGTTTTCATTACAAGTTCCCATCCTCGGGGCAACCCACCCACCAAACCAAAGTCAAACATCTTACTAGGTCGTGTTCCGTGGGCTCTTGGGATTTCCCAATTCCGTGGTATCCCGCTTTCCAGCCAGATGTAGCGGTTTTTTCCCAAATCCATTTTTCCCATTCCATTGTCTTGTATCCGAAAATGCGCCGCATAGAAACAAACGTTCAAAAGTCCGTTTTTCAAATGGAAGTTAACTTGGTTAGTTCCATAGAAAGTTGCATAAAATTGCAGTTGGACTGGTTTGGTTTTATTTACTGCTTCAAACACATTGATCATCAGATGCTGAACCGATATTGCTATCGTTCAACTCATTTGCATGTTAATTGTATTAATTGTACATTTCACTTGCAGATTTCCTTGTCCAGACCCCAGACAACTATATCGATGGTGGGCGCACAGACGACAGCAACTCCCAACTCTCTTCCACTCCAAGCCCTCTCGTTTTCCCCCTCACCATTCTCCCCCAAGCTCCTAACCGAAAAATGTCTGACACCATTGCAGTCGAAAAGGAAGGAATCTGTCCTCTAAGCGAGTCCAAGGGTCAGGAAATTGGTACACCAGTTGACCAAGAGTCCCAGAAATCGGAGCAAGTTATCCTAGAGACCTACATAACAGCGCCTCTAAAGATCGTAGAGCCATTCGAGAAGTTCGAGAAGGAAAAGGAGGAGGAAGACAAGGAGAAGGATAGCCCAATAAGAAGCTCCACAAGTCCGGAGGACATCACCGAGATCGAAGTGATCAGTGCCAAGGCAAAGAAGTCGGTCAGCTTCAATCCCAACGACGAAGAGATACGCAAGTTCACCACCGGTGAACCGATTGTGGATCAAAAGAATCCATTCCGCAATGGACACATAGCCGCCACACGGGAGAAGAAGACTCCGCCTCCGGTGCCAACGAAACGATCCACCCTAAGTGTTCGCAAAACCGTGACCCAGCAACTTAGGGAGCGGGAACGTGAACGGGAGCGGGAGCGCGAAAAGGAGCGGGAGCAGCAGAAGAACGAGTCCAACACTCGGAAAAGTAAGTTCAATCGATCCCAGTCGCAGACGGATGACTTTGTGACCACGGAGGAGGTGCTCAAGCAGTCCAAGTATGTGAAAACGTACATTAAGAATCCGGATGCATACTTTGTCTATGATCCCTCGGTGCTGGCACGGCTCAAGCTAGAGGAACTCAAGGAGACAACCGGCAAGTTGCCCAAAAGGAAACAGACGGTGAAGGAAACGAGGACGGGAAAGCAGGCCCGCCATCAGAATCAGCAGCCGAATCAAAAGGCCCAACAGTTACAGAAGCCAACGCAGCCCACATTTAAGAAGTGCTCGAAGCCAAACTACCCGGAGTTGGCCAACTTGAAAATCCGCACCGGTACCAATTCCGATCCAGAAAGCAGTGCCTTATTCAATCCCGCTGAGGTAACGAAAAATGCTCGCAAATTCGACGAGAGGGTGAAGAAGCTACAGATCACCTCGGACGATGATCTGGACGACATCGATGGCCCGTTGACGAAGAGTGAGTCCAGTGACGAGTTGGCGGCCAGTTCCTCTGCGCCACAAAGTCCAGACAAGCCGGTGGCTATGAGTGCGCCGGGCGAATTGCCCTCGCCCACGCCCTCGCCAGGCACGTTCACCAACACCATTAGCTCCGATGAGTTCCAAGCGTATCTGGACTCCAAGGGTCTGGCCCTAATGCCCCGGCGCGAGCTCTTCTCGCCGTCGCCCACAATCGCCAGGACCTCGACGCCCATGCAAACGGCGGAGGAGCGACGCCAACAGGTGGCTGAGTCACTGGCGGCCCTGCGCAAGAGCAACACCAAGAAGCTCAATGTACTCCAGCGGATCTCGAACAGTATATTTCCAGCTCGACGAAAAACAACACCCAAGTCGGAAGCTCCTTCGCCGCGTAGCATCTTCAACGATTTGGAGAAGGAGGACTATCGCCGCAAGGCGGATGTCCCCACCGAGATACGTCGTGTTCTATTGGAGCGCCAGAGTCCCAACTGCCGTCGCCAAAATGGACAAGTTCAATCTCCGACCATTGATTCTGGCATCGATAAAAGTCCCAGGAACTGTGACAGCAATTTGCAGAACAGAAACGGTGACACGAATTTGCCCATGCGAAATGGTGACGCCAGCTTGCACATAAGAAACGGTGACCACGCAACTTTGCAGAGGCGAAACGGTGACAACACCTTGCGAAGATCGACACTGGAGCGACCAGGTGTCAATCCCAGACGTCAGTGGCCAGAGGCACAGCAGGTTGGTCGCATAAACCGCTCCACTTCGGTGGATCGCAGCCAATTCAACCATGAACAGCCGATCCAGGGCACGGCAAGTCCTGCGACCTCATCGACGCCAGTACGTGGCCAAAACCAGTGGGACCAATTGCGGGCCATCAAAGAGGTGACGGATCGCCAGCTCTACCACAAGCTGCATCAGCAGCAGCAGCTGCAGGCACAACCAATCCAGGGACAACATCCAGGGGCAATCAGACAACGAGCGAGTGAGGATATCTACGCCCAGGTGATAGTCCATCCCGACCAAACAAATTTTGTGCGCGGCTCAGTGCAGCGTAACACCTTCTCCGGTATCAGCGGTCGCAGCCGGCCCCTCATGGTTTACAACAGCACGCCGATGAGGCAGCAACAAGTGCAACCACAGCCGCCGCGCTGCCAGAGTGTCCTGGACCACATAACGCCCAGTGCTGGAAATCCAGGTCAACAGACACCAGTGGTGATGCGGCATCGGGCGGCGAACCAGGGGCACTCGCAGCAGATGCCACCACGGCGGATTGGAGGTCTTCTCACGCGCGAGGAGATCCTCGAGAAGGTCAAGGAGTTTTGCCGCAAGAGCATTACCCGGGCACCGGAAGCGAAGACGCCGCTCCAGCCCATCTATAAGCGACATCTAACGCCTCCCAATGCTGATGTCTCGCCCGTGTCGTACGCTTCCGTGGATGACCAATGGTAAGTAATGTGTCATAGACCATTGAATTCTCGTTTCTCATTTTCTGGTATTCCTAGTGCGCGGCCACAGGTGCCGCAGCGCGTCCAGAGCTTACCCGTCGCCCAGGGGCGCTATGTAACCAGCGGCATGTCGGCGGACGGACCGTCGCCCATCTACGCTCATGTCAGCAAGCGAAACAGCTTGCTTTCCAATGTCTCCGAACAGTATTTATCCAATCAGCAACTTGGAACGCTGACCAGGCCGGTGCCGCTCAACCAGCTGGTACTGGTGGACACGGGCGAGGGTGTTCAGGTGGCCCAGCTGGTTGACTACCTGCCCTATGTGCGCCCGGCGCCCGCCCACGGCTATGTGATGCAGGATGGCAGGGCCACGCCGCTCATCCTCGACCAATCGGCCCAGCAGACCAGCCAGATTTACTGGACACCGCAGCACCGCCAGCGGATCGCCCATCCGGTGCCAGCACCACGCTTTATGAAGGGTCAGGCCATGCCCACGTCCAGAAACAGCACGATAAGCCGACATATGGAGGAAAGGATGGGTAATGCCTCCGACTGGGAGCTCAGCTCGGAAGCTGGGGAAGTACGGCGCATAATGGAAAAGCAATTATAATTTAAGGTGAGTGCCATAAACTTCTTGTTTACAATACATTTTATTAAAGCACTGGGCACCAAGGCAAGTTGAGTGAACTTCTTGTTTATACGAGTAAGGCAATTTAATTAACACATTTGCTTTGTGCAATGTTTCCCTGCGAAAGCTACAATTCCAATTTCAATTTGCTGTGGCTACTTTCACAATTTAATCAATTGCTTAGATATAAATTAGATATAAAGCCTTCGGAATTTGGATAATTTTACCATGAAGCGCGGAAGTCATGCAAATGGTTCGGTACTCTGCTGGACGTTAGTAGAATTCTAAACCATGGTTTGAGGCCACAGTGTTTCGCTTTGCGATTGAAATCGGTTATGAAAATCTAGAAAAATCGGATGAACCGATAGGGCCAAAGGCCTATGTATTTCCATCTCTAGGGCACACAAAGAATTTATTTATTTACCGCTGAAGATAGCTAGTGCTATTTTTTAACCGTCTATTTGACTACGCTATTTCTTGCAAATAGTTTGAAATTTAAAGGTGTGTAGTGCGTTTAAGTTTCACCCTGATTACGAATACCAAATCGAATGCAGCTAACCCACACAACCTTTACATGTACATAGTTCATATAGGCATTGTTTTTAACTTTATTGTGAAATGGCATACATACATGTGTACCTATCCAGATAGTCATTTACGTATGCACCATATATGGATTTCAAGGTCGAAGTACTAATATGCCTCTTAAACGCGAAAGCAAAATAGAACCTTGCAATTTTCCCCAAAATTTGCCTTCATGACGTATTTGTTGCTTGCTCGCTTGCGCCAACGGAAAAGCGCGCATGTGAAAAGTGAGCTGCTCTCTCGCTCTCTCTTAGGAAGCTTCAACATTTTCTTTACTAGGTCAGTGTCAAAATAAAGGGTAAATTTGATGAATCCCACTCCTCTCTTCATAGTGACCTCTTATATTAGAACCGTTCCGATTATACGGCAATTAATTGTTTGAATTGAATAGGTACTTATTCCATCTACTTAATGATCGAAAACAAGGGGCCCGATGTCTTTAGACCTCTGAAAAGTAGAATGTAAAGCAGCTACTTTAGTATATTGATAGACGAGCCCCGGGTAAACAGCGCACATTGGGGTAAAATGCAGATTTATAGGAAAATTGAAAATATATTGTTTTTGTTTTAGTTGCCATCGCTGTTTAATATAAAAATTAACGATCTTAAAATGGTGTGCTCTTTGAATTCGCAGAAGATGGAGTCGGAGGGCAGCAGGAGCGAAGACATTGGGCGTACTAAGACCGGGTCCAATTTGAGTGAGGAGTCTCTCGGGAGCAGCACCTCGTCGTCGGTACTTAACTCGTGGACCATTCTGCCAGTGGTTAAGGAGAAGGATGACGGGCTGGAGGCGAAGACCGAAGAGGTGACGGATTTAAGGCCGAGCAGTCGGGCGGATAAGCAGAAAAACGAGAGGTGAGACCGCACAATGATTGCCCAAGGATATAGGAACTCATCCAGCAATTTTTATCACAAGCAGATGCAACAGGCCTGCGGTCGAGGATCCTCAGGCAGATGATATTTCGGATGGTATTTCAATAATCAGCGATTGCGAGAGTACCGATCGCATTTCACCCAATCTATTTCTGCGCGAACCCCTATTGGGTGACTTAGGTTTCGGTGATTTACCAACTAGTCCTGTGGAACTGATTGCCCCTATTAGCACTGGCCAGCAGCTAAAGGAATATCCGGAACGGGAGCCGGAGCCGCAACAGCAGGATGCCAAGAGCGTGGTGCGCTCCAAACTGGAACTCCAGTTGCCACCGCTGGTGCAAAACGGCCTGACCGCCTTTTTCTATGTGGCCTCCACTTTGGCCATTCTGGCCTTTGTCGGCAAACTACGGCATCCGGAATGGCAGGTGCTCGGCGAGGAGAAGCCCCTGATCGAACTGGAGCGCCGGGTGGGTGAGCTGGAGCTACAAAACAATCTACTGCGCGCCGAAATCGATATCATGTCCAAGAAACTGCAATATCTCGCATCTGGTCAGGATGCATCGATGCAGCGACAGGGAGCTGGTCGTGCCAAGGGCAAGACCTTCAAGGCGTGGCCAGGAAATGGTGATTCGGTTCAGCCCGTGGACATCACCAAGGCCGATTTAAAGCAACCCTTTCAGTGTTCCGATGGCCAGTTCGTTGAGATCGCTGGCATGTGCCTGGAGAACAAGCAACATCTGGATTCTCTAACAGATGAGATTGGAAATGCCGTCAACGATGTGCTACAGCAGTCTGGAGCCTTTCACAAGTTTGAAAAGGTCACCGAGAAGCTGGGCAACTTTGCTGGTGCCGATGATACCGATGATACCGTTGATCCCAAAGGTTTTCACTCGAAGAATAATGATGGTCCACAAACCGTGACTTCCCATGGCCAGTCATCGAAGCTGGCGGATGGTTCGAAAGAGCGTTACAGGCCAAAGTATAAGCAGGAATACAACTCGAACGAGAGGAAACAGCGGCGTCAGAATGAAGAGCACGATCGACGCAACCGAAAAGATGATCACTCAAAGGAGCATGGTAAGAAGAAATACTACGATCAGTCCTCCAATAACCGGGGACGTTACAATAAGAACTCCAAGAAATGCAACGAGGAGCAATCCAACGAGAAATGCAAGGAACGCAATCCTAATGACGATAACGATAGCGGCAGTGGCGAGTGGCATGAACGAATGATGCTACAGCGTGAAAACGCTCGCCACAAACACCAGAAGCGCAACAATAACAACTGGTACATTGAACGAGGAGAAAGTCGCGAACAGATGCGTTCTGGAGAGACCCAACGCTAAATGGATTTCCTACAATCTTATATATAATCTACGCATCAAGACGATGACCTTTGTCTTTATCCCGAAGGGAAAATGGGATCGAAATTTCACCACAGAGGTCACATATACATATATACTTTAATCCCAAGATATACTTAAGGACAACGTGTGCTAGTAAAGCGCACACATGAATTTGTGCTGGTTCCTAACTATACATGTGTGTTTGTAATATTTCGACGATGCTTCTACAGAGTGTTTTTTTTTTTTATCAAGACAACAATTAAACAGGAATCAATGTTTTTTGAAACACACTGTAGAACCAGAGCTTAATAAGCATCAAGCGATGCAAGTGCTTAATATTTATTTATTTTTATCTACAACTGAAGTTTTTGGCTGCGTTAAAGCTAGCATTATCCTTGTAATCCCGATTTCGCAATGTATGTACATATACAGATTCAATAGTCAGTGTTTAATACTAGTGTATCGCATTTTTAATGGAAATATCGTACATATCGCCCACATTTAACTGAAATGGATTAATATTAAAATGAAAATGAGTATAAGGACTCATATTAAAATCGAAATTAAATGTAAATGCCACTTAAGTTAAATGTGAGCGATGTCTTTGTATAATATCGGTTCCTCTTAATGAAGGGTGTTATTCTTTTACAAAGTTCCAGCTCAACCTAAGAGACAGACCCATCCAAGTCCGTCAATAAAGCAAAATCAATTTCCTTTCAACGAGTTTATCAATAATCCTTTTGAAACATTAGATTTCGCTACAAATTATGTATTGATATATACATAAATATATATATATTTGTGATACCTATACTAATATTTTTTTTTAGTCTAGAAAAATAAATTATTGTACCATATTAGGAATTCCTGGAAAGCCAATTCAAAAAAAAAAAAAAAAAAAAAAAATGCAAAATTGCTAAAAATCGAAAAAGTAAAGGAAATCCATATTTTTGTATGCATGTTCGTTCAAAATCTAAGCGTATATATTCATAAATGTATAAATGTGTACCCCAAATGTTTTGCGATGAAATAAATAAAAATCCATAAATTTCATTTAGTAGTTGCTTCAATACATTGAAAATGTTTCCCACAAATCATTGATTTGTGATTTGATTTAAATAATTTAAAAAGGGAAAGTAAGAGTATCACAGTATTTCCTACTGTTCACGACGAACGTACATACATACATATGTATGTACATACACAGGTGTGACCTTTATCCTTTTGTTCGAGCGCGGTCCACTCTAATGTACATATTGCCGCTGGGTGTATGTACGCATATGTTACGTGCTCATGCACTTTCGTTTCTTGTCCCAGTTTTCGGTGTAAGGGGGAGGGGTCCGAGCCAAAGCCCGAAGAAAGCGACTCGTTTTGTCGGCCAGAGAGGCGGGGATCTGTACTAAAACTGTGCCACGCAAGGATATGCACTCATTGCGCAAGCCCTTCTAGGCTCGATTTTACTACGAGCGCAATAAACACACGCCCACACACTCCTGCACTCGCCCAGTCACGCGCAACATTATTCAGGGCATCCGAGTGATGCAAAAAGAAGCTAAAGCTTAAATACCATACGATAACAAACACAAATTGAGAGCTATAAGAATAACTAATATTTACATACCTTGCTAAGATTGCCACAAAGAACGCATTTTTATTAGACATGCTTTATATACTTTTAAAATAACACTTTTCAAGAATACCAGATTGGTATTGCATAGTTAACTTATTTACATTGCTAGGATTGCCACATTATTATTAGACATGATTTAGATACTCTTTTAATATTATCATTTTGGTATTGCATAGTTAACTTAAATTATAATGAACATGCCTAAAATAATACAACAACCAACGAAGAATTTAAAGATTTTAGAAAGTTTTTACCTCGTGTTTTCAAGAATTGCCTATTACCATAGCCGGACATGTTTATATCAACTCTATTTCTAATACCGATATGGATATCTCTACATCGATTCTTAAATGAATATTAGAATGTTTGACCTTTAGTGATTTTACCTACTTTTTGGATGTACAAAAATGTAATAAGTGCAAGCAGTGCTGCTAAATATTTTGCAGAAAAAATCTTTTTTCCCAGCGTTGTAGTAATTTTATAAAAAAAACTTATGTATTGTACCGAAAAGAAAAAGAAATTCATTTTGATTTAAAAACAACGAAGCTATGATTTCTTATCTAACGGGCCCGCATTATTATTTATTTTATTTATAACAATCCAGCATAGACGCTAAAATGACAACCGTGGGTGCAAGTACCAGAGAGAGAGAGAAAGGGAGAGAAACCGAACCGAGTTTAGAACATTTACCTTCGTAAGTGATTCGTGAGTAGTGCCGAATGTGCATGACTGTGGTGGTAGTGGTGGTGCCAGTGCCGAAGTGTGCGTCTGCACATGTTTGTTGTTGGTTCACTGAGGCCCGTTCGCGCGTCAATTCAGTCTCAGTTACTAAACCGATTTCAAGAACTACGGACGCTTCACTCGGCCCTTGCTAAGTGGCGTGTGCTACAATTAAGTAACGGGCAGAGACATTTCACAACAACAAAAAAATAGAAAACTAGAATACAACAAGAAATCCAAAAACATAAACCAACAAAATCCCAATAAACCCACATAAAACAAGAAAATAATAAATAGACATCCGAGCACATATACCCACACAAAAATAAAACAATAGCATACTAGTTGGGTACAACTGAGGTATTTTATACATAACTCGCTAAATCCTTCGTTTAATACAACGACGACCACCAAAAAATCCAGTAAATCGAAAACACGAAATTACCATCAGCAGATTGCACCGGTATTTAAAAAAATATATGTATGTTTAAATACAATTTTTTATCTATTTTGTTCGAAAAAAAAAATGCAATATAAGTGTATTCTTGTGTGTGCTGTGCAAAAATTGAGAAAGCAGCAACCACAGAAAATACAATAACAATGATTGTGATAGAAAAAAAAAGGGAAAAAAAACACAAAAAAGGAGATGGAGCATCGGTTCTCTCACTTTCGCTCGGCTGTTTTCATATCTTCTTGTTTTGTTGTCGTTATGGTGCTCACTAGAGCATTGGGCTTTTCAGCGCCGAAAGGGACAGCTGTTCTTCACCAACATTGGGTAGAGAGCCCGACTCCAGGGAACTAGCTATGTATATTTCCCTTGCTTTCGAACTTTCATAACCCAAATTATGAAAGGGCTCGGCACTCAAACTAACGAAGGGTGCACAAAATTTGAACACCCACCCAATCCACTTACTGTAGGGTACTTTAGTTGGCTTGAGCTCTGATTATTATTGTACGATATATGGATATTGATTTGGGAGGAAATTCGAAGCAAATGCAAATTGATCTCCTTAATCTAGCTCCTCCCAATTTGTTGTCGTGCTTAAAAGCTATAGCTGACAGCTGATATTTGCGCTGGCAAGCTCCAAATACAGTGCGTATTTCCTAACTCGAATCTGCAGACCACCTTACCATTCTGTACCATAATTCAGAACAAGTGCTCAGTATTGCGTCAAGCAATATGAAATTGTCGCTATACTATATGTAACTTTCACGTCTCTGAAGATGGTCGTGCTAGTAAGGTTCCACTGTATCTTTCTATAGTTGTTGCACAACAAAAGACGAATTCTATAATAGTGCATGTGTGTGATTTCATTTGCGCAATTTTTTGCTCTTTTTTTTATTTATTTATCTGAGACAACATCGATGATTCGATGGCAATTGTTGCAAGTTTGAGAGCATAGTGACCACCGACTGCAGCTGCTTTTGCATTTTTGCCAAAGAACAAATGAAATGAAATGAATTTCGACCAAACCGAATTACGAACTTGTGCCAGACAAATACTATCGAGTCAGAAGACCATCATTTGGCATTTTGTCGCGGGGTTCGTCGCAAGCTTATTTGTATCTATGTACTTTCATACATACAGCGAAAAAAAAAGATATTGTGTACTGCACACACTCAAGTGTGTATTGCATGGGCATTCCCGGCATGGCAGTGTATTTGTCATTTCAATTTTCGTGTGTGCTCAGATAAACGATAGAGAATCATGTGCCTAAAATTTTTTTTATTTGTTCGCTGCTATTGTGATGTAAAATGTGCCAACATCTTGCTGTTGCGTCTAAATACGAACAGCTGACTGTGTTTTTGTGGCCTCATATGATTATGGTGCGTTATGCTTAAGATTTTGGCAAATTGCGGTGCATAGGTGAACAACAACAAAAGTAAAAAAGTATAATAATAATACAGCAACAAAATAAAGAGGAAGTGAGAGAATGCCAATAGTTCAGGCACACAAGCACATACGCAGTTTGTCGGTCAGCTGTTTTGTGTTGTCTCGAGCACCAGGGTCTCTCATTTTTTCTATTTTTTCTTGCTTTTCCCCACTCGGTCTCGTCTATCTCTCCTTTTCTCTCGCTCGCTCCCTCTCTCTCTCGCTGTTTAAAATATACCCCTGCGACAGTCGGGGAAAAATTAGAGCAACGCTTGCTCCACAACGCTCGATAAAACTGCGGGAAATAGGGCTGCAAAGCAATAACTAAAAATAATTTGTGATGATCTTGTAAATTGAAGTACTGCACAATGTCTACAATCCACAAGTTTCGAATGCGCAATATAACGTGTGAGTGTGATTTTACCAGCAAATCGCTGCAAGGAAAACCCCCAAAGCAGGTTATGCAATGTATTGAAAATCGTATAGCATTTCTCTTTTGTTTGTAGTCGATAAAAATACACATATCTAGTGCGATAGAATTCAGCGCAGTAAACATTGAGTCCAGCCAGATCTTCGTACATACATATACATTAACTTATACATATGTATGTACGTAGGCTTTATGTAATGGGGCCCGGTAATTACTTCGATTGGTGTGTTTGCACAACGGTCGGTCGGTCACATTTCCATTTAGATTTGGCACTTCAGACTCTTGAGCTGCAGTGGTAATGATTTAATGATGTTAATTGCACTGCTATGCAAATCAAATGAGAAATAAATAAGGAAATGAAAACAAGCCAGCCAAATCAGTTGTCGATTGCAGAGCTGATTGTATGTTGTATATGTACATATGTACATACATATGTGCATTGACCCATCGAAAGGTCCAACAAAATTACATTAAAGAGAAACGGTCAAAATAATCGAGAACTCGCTAAATCCAATGCACCTTATCTACCTATAATTGGCATCTGTTTAGATGCCTTGGAGAAACCACCTGTATAAAACCTAGATGAAAAACAGATGATTATAAAATACACAGCTGTATGAACGTTTGTGTAGCCCCATCTAATTATCTTAAAAGCGAGCCAATTTTGTTCTGCAAGTAGTCGTACTTTAAATACCCTTTGTTACCTTGTACGCAGACACGCAAATTGAATGCTTAACTTAATTGATTCCAATTTCGCTAATTTGTAGACAAAAGCGCTGTCATAAACGAATTGCCCTGTGTAAACAAAAAAATACATACACTCAGAATAAAAGCTATAAGTTCGTCTTAGTGCTTCTTACAATTATTGCATATAAAAAAGGCAGTTAATTAGAAAAAATTTGCAACTGGATAAATGCTTAAAAATAAAACAAGAACTTTTCTACTTAGGAAGTGCGCTAAAGAATCAACAAATTTTGTGACTGCACACATTTGTTACTTGACTTCAGAATCCTAAATACTTTTTAAAGTTTGTAACGAAGGACATTTCTTGCTAGAGCCAAGCCTTATGTTATCTAATTGTTTAGCTGCCTTGATTTTTATGCGAATGCAATTTGAATGCAAAGTTATGTAAGCAAATACATTATTCTATGTACATACTCCCCAATGCGCGTGTGTGTGTGCTAGCCAAGTGAACTTGAAAAGCCCTATTTTCACTTATGTGCCAGTACATAAGGCACGGAAAATACGTCTTTAAATGTTTGTAGTATTTATTTGCGGTAACGGTGTGGCGCGGTAAATGGAATTTGGAGGCTTCATCGTTTTGACTGTGCGGTCGTCACAATAAGTAATTCTAAATATGTACATATATATGTATATGTATGTATGCATATATATGCATTTATATAGCCAGAAGGTGGAGTTTTCCTATATGGCATTTTGGCTTAAGAATTGTTTGTTATTTAAATCAACCTTTAAAACTGGTGGCCCAGATTTTATTGATTTTATGTTGTGAAGAGCGGCACACACACACACTCGCACATTCGTGCACACACACAGTCCATTGAAGAGTGCATTTTCGCTCACGGAGAGTGTCAAAAGTGAGAGATAGAGTGAGAGATACCGTTGTGTTACCGTTTTCGGTGAGGGTGAGAGAAAGGCCATCAGCTGAGAGAGTTCACTTTCTCTGCCCGTTCCAGTCACTACGAGCAACAGCAACCTAAATATATAAATATATATAGAAATGTTTATATATACAAAATATATGCAAGGATGTGTAAGGAATCCGAGCTTGGGGATGTATTTATGAAATTATAAGCTAAAAATGTCAACGTAGCAGCGCCTTCGGCTCTCGACGGAGTTTGTTTTAGTGATAAAGTTCGAAACACCTGCTTTGGGAATTAAAAATGCTCCCAAAAAGTGAATAAATACTAAGAACAAAATGAAATATACAGTTTGAAAGTACCCTATTAAAGCAGAGCCGTGTAAAACCTAAGGACACGTTGTTTACCCCTTAAAGTACATACTTTGTGATCAACAGGCAAGTGAATATACACATGTACATATACATATGTAGGTGCCCTTATAGCAATTCATAAATTAATTGCGTTGCGTTAATTATGGAATAAATGGAATATACTTTAATGCTTGGTAGAAGCAGTAATAACTTTTAATTAACATATGCCTTAAGGTATGCAATGAAATTACATGTATATCCTTACACGCGTATGGAAATATTTTAAAATGATTTTAGGTGCAGTCTGGTTGACCTTTAACCTTTACGCTGTCGCATCGCACAACTTGTCTCTTGCACACAACCCAAAGGGCAAAATTACCTAGATCTGCCATGGAACTAAGACTTAGATCAACCGATAGTCATTAGTTTAATAAAGCCATTGTCCACCATTATCATCAATAACCCTCTGAAGGCAAATGCCAAACCTTCGTAACGGCTATGCCTTGTATGGCATTTGGCCTTCAATTGGTTTATAAAATGCAAAAAGCAGGTTATGTACATGCATTAGATACGCATACAAACACGCATGACCCCGCTGCATCAACACAGCTGCACTAGTGCTAAAAAAAAATATTTGTGTGGGCGGGCTGAGGTCTCTGTGACGTATGTATGTACATGTATGTTATGTTACTGCGCACTGGGACCCACGCACTCTGGAGAAAAGTGAGTGAAAATCAGAGAAAAAAAGATAATTCTACTAAAATGCTGAATAAAATTATGCTAAGCAGGGATCCAAAGATATTTCATGTACGGAAAAAATAACTCAAATCTAACTAAATTAAACTCTGCCGTGATTGATTTAGGATTATAGTTGAATGCCTATTAGGCTTAAGGTTAAGCCGATGTTAGCACACAAATTGCACTCGTTTTTCGCAGTGTATTGCTTCAGGGCTTATCATCTGCTTTTGCCGATGTTTTCCTCTCTCAATTCCTATTAAATGGAAATGGCTCAGCTTGCAAGGATTCCACATCCGAAGGCCAAGAAATGCGCTTCGTGTGTCCTCGGATCAGCTGCGTAAAGAGCGTGGAGAGCGCTGAGAGCGCCCGTTACCGTTATGTGGGTGTTCGTCCTACTTCGGCCTACCGCTCAGCTGTGCTCCAGTTTCACTCCCGAATGCATTGGCACCGACTACTCGGCAGTTCCGTTTTGAGGCACAGCTCCCGACTCGGATAAACAGTTAACCCAAATTCCTAGAATGACGTAGGAAGAGCGCAAGCACATACTATAAGAACACAAATTGGCTGGGTAAGCCGTTGCAGAAAATGCATTGATAAATAACTAACTGAATTTAATATCAAGTAAAAAAAATTCTACTAAAATTCTTCTAAATTACAATGGCAATTATTTCTATTTGATTACACGCAAATTTAAAGGCCAGTTTTATTTGGGTACAACAATTAGGAAACAGAGAATTTGGATAAAAACATTGGTTCTTCAACTATGAAGCATCATCGCTAGTCTCCACGATACGACACATAATTGGTATATCCTCCTCCTTGGTAATGTTGCCCTTCTCCTCGCGATTTAGCAGGCTTTCAATGTAGTCGTGACGGAATTTGTTCCATTGCCGGGTCTTAAGAAAGTTGGTAAACAAGTCCTGACGCGAGGGCACGTTGCACTCGAAGTAAAAACGACGGCGGTGCCAAATATTACCCGGATTCTGTTCCTCTTCAAGGAGCCAGAAGCGCGGCAGGAGCAGGCACTGAACAACAGTACGGGCCATTATCACGCGATGTTCCATCTTTTCGCCCAATCCAAATATACTACCGTAGGTTAGTGAGCCCACGTCTATAAAGTGAGTCTCAACGGGCTGCTGCAAGGGATAGAGTCGATAAATATTAAGCAGATCTGCAGATTAAACATCTAAGTGATATATTGTTTGATATCCAAATAGTTTACTTTTACTTAATACCTACTTTGACTGGTTTGGCGCTCTCGTCTATTAAAGTCTTTTCATTGGTCACCGAACTCGCCGTAAATATTTCTGACGATGAACTGGATACTTTCTTCTCGGAGACAGTGCTGCTTTCGGCGCTGTGCCGTTTAAGCTGCACTTGCACTAGGGTACGATCCATGGAGACATTGGATTCCGTGGATGAATCATATGAGCTATTGTCCGTATCAATTTCATCATAGGGACCATCCTCGGCGTAGTCCAAATAATCTTCATCAAGATGTCCGTCGTCGTCGTCATCGTCATCGTCGCCAATAGGTAGTACACTTGGCAGCCAAGGAGTTCCTCTTCGCAGCGACTGTATCAATTGAGTCTTTCTGGCCTGTGCCGCCGTATTCAAGGTTCTCCTCGGCTTTGTTTTTTTTCGAGATGGTGTGTTAGAGGTCCGAATGCCACAAAACTTTTGAATTTCCGCCAGGCCCATTTTGCGCATCTATGCAAAGTTCATTAGTGGCGAAATGTGAAGACAATGAAGTAGTGTTGGCTAGCTACCGCTTGTTTCTTCTTTGTGCCGCCTTCAACTTCCTCAGAGGAGGTGGAAGAGGCCAAAATGTCCTGTATATCTAGAAACGAGTTACGACTGGTAACGTCTTTCCAAGACTGAAACATTTCAAGACCCTCATTCTTATTTATTTCGGTCAGCTCGTAGTTGACCTCTCCTTCTGCGTTGGTGACCTAAGTGACAAAAGGAATTCATCATTTTTGTATCTAGATGATTATATTGCAATGTTGTACTCACCTTCATACTTAGACACTGCAATATTACACACTCTCCGCTAAGAACAAATCGCACATAACCCAATGAGTCCGTATCCCCCATATAAATGGTCTCTAGGGGCTCATATTGAACCAAGTACGAGTACTTGCAAGCCAGAATTATCTATCGTGCGAAAAACGTTATAAATTTGACAGGTTCGTAGAACTAGACGCACCTGCTCCGGAGACAAAAAATCAAAATAATCAAATGCCTTTAATGCAAGCTTCTTTTCGTTCCATTGTTTCAACATATGTGGCTTCAGGATGCGTTCATAGTCCACATCGTATATTGATAAAACCTCACAACTAGCTAGTGAAAATTATGGTTTCGATTCTTAAATATTGTTAACTTTCCGTTCTTACCCAGGGCTAAATAAGTGTTCATTCTTGGGCATTCCTCAACCATTTCCACGTCTCCAAAACAATCTCCTGGACCAAAAATAGCTTCCGCAACGGCATCTTCTTGTTTTGTAGCCTAACCAAGAAAGGGACAACATCTGACCAGATATCTTGTTTATTGCTGAATCTTACCTTATTGTATATGTTCTTTTTCATCTCGACTTCACCATTCAATATGAAATAGACGGAGATAGGCATATCGCCATTTTTGATTATCACACGTGGTTCATTGATGGACATAAACTTTAGGACAGGCACCATGCGTGCTCTAATTTTCTAAGCTCGATATGGAGTATCTTGGTGAACTATATTAATTTCTTTAATTTTCCCCTTACCGGTGGAATTCTAGAAAAACAATTTAGTCCTGCTATTAATATGCACAACTTTTTGCGTTCCTCAATTGTCCTAAAAGCGGGATTTGAACGCAATAGTGCCTTATCCTGTGGTTTTGTATCATTTTAGCAGTCTACAAGCCTTAAACAAGAAGTTATTCGTACCGCTAAGGTCAACATGCCCGGTTTTCGTTTTTGGCGCATCAAAGCCACATTCTTTTTCACATTCATTGAGATACCCTGCTCCTCTTCATCGGAAAGCCATGTCTGGTTCATAATGACAGCCCGAACCAACTTTTTAAACCGGACCCGTAGGTCCATCTTATGTTTCACGATATCCGCATCGCGGTTTCGCTTGGCCGCCATTTTGTGTTATTGGATTTATATTTATTTGTGTATTGTTATTGTGTTATTGGCAGTATGTTTTTTTTGTCTGTTTTCTGATAGTGTTTGTATTTATATAGACACTCATGTATGTAGGTGACTTGGGTTCGGATGGTGTGCTTGTTTTTTACACAGAGTCTGTAGGCTACTTTTTATGTTTAAGTTGCACAAAACTCAATAAGTACGATGCTTGTAGTGCGATGCACTTCAAAAACTGCATAATACTTGCACAATACAGTTAAACACTATAAAGAACATTTCTTTTATATTAAAGGTCTATTTTTCGTTCATCTTTCAGGAGGTGTCAGTCATTTGATTGAAGTGGAAGTCCAAAAAATCCTCTGATTAATGGAAAAGTTTTAACAAGAAAGAGTGCTCGGATTGCCAAATCAAAGAAAATCTACAGATGCACCACCAAGAAAAGGAAAAACAACCAAAATAACCGTGGCCAAATAAAAGTCGACAAGGAATAAAGACACATAAATACACACAAATGTACATAATTTAATATTTGGATATGCCTTGTAAATACAACATAAATATTTAGAATCTAGGCAACTACGCTTATTACGACAACTGAAACAAGGAAAAGGAAACACACCTTTTCCTATTACAAAAAAACACGATTCTCATTCTAGTCGCAAAACTTTCACAATTACAGATAATCTTCACACAGCGAAACACTAAAACTTCAACTAAACAGTAATAACCTCCCCCACCAAAAATATTAAACCAAGCAAACAACAACAACAATTTATATATATACATAAAAGGCAGAAATTTAAACGGCAAAAATAATTTAAAAAAAATATATATATATTAAACAAAACCAAACGAATGCAAGAAAAGGGAGAAAGTCAACTATTCCAAATTAACGTCAATGTGTATGTGATCTCCAAAGACCATCTTTAATCGCTCCTCATCGCTAGGATATCGCCACCAACTGCAGTTGCAACTGCACTCCTCACCGACAACAGGCAGCTATCCGGACCCAGATCAGCTAACATAACCGGATTCCAAGCCGGAGTCCGTGAAACGAACGTGGAAAGGCCAAAGAACGAATACCGAAGGGTTCGGCCGCAGGGTCAAGATGCATATTGAAATCCAGGTCGCTTTGAACTTCGTCATATCCTATCTCTACAATAAATTGCCGCGCAGACGTGTAAATATATTCGGCGAGGAGTTAGAGAAGGCCCTACGCGACAAGTTCCAGGGTCACTGGTACCCTGAAAAGCCCTTTAAGGTAAGTGATCCCTACAATGTGTGATACATATTCTAATATATAGTACTTTACATCGATTACCTTAAAGGGATCTGCCTATCGCTGCTTGAAGACCGGGGATCCCATTGATTCGGTTCTGGAAAGGGCGGCTAGGGAAAGTGGAGTACCGATCGGCGATATCCTAGAAAACCTACCAAACGAACTTTCGGTGTGGATTGATCCCGGGGAGGTCTCATTCCGCATTGGTGAAAAGGGAGCAGTGAAGGTAAACATTTATAGTACACAATAGCAAAACCTATCTATATCCAATATAATAAATATCTATTAGAGATATATTTGAATTTGTATTGCCACTAGCTTTAAAATGAGCGAGAAAATCGCAATACTGTACCAAGCAGTCTGAATAGAACGAAATAGCAATACTTATGTTTTTAAAATAATGTCAGGGTGTCTTGGTCACACAATGCCTATCAAATACCATGTCTAGTCAGCTTTAAGGTGCTGTATCTATTTGGGAAATAATAGTTCTGAAGTAATATCCATTCTCTAATCATCAGATTCTTTACACGGAGAACAATGAGAGCCACGAAGACAGCCATTCGGCAGATCGCGAGGTCACCAAAATGTTCAACCCGGAGGCGCAGTGCTTCCGACCCATCGATGCCGTTAACACGACCATGAACAATCTGAGCTTGAGTCCCAAGGCGCTTCCATTGGCACTGCCCCAAGCAGGATCATCGCCGCACTCGGCTGCGTCCAGTTCGCCCACCTACAAGGGCAGTCCAAATCCCACGATCTCTGGCAGCTGCAGTTCTGTTTCCGGAACGGGTTCTGGAACGGGCTCTGGTTCGGGATCCGGATCCAATCTGGCACCCGGTCCTGGTACTGCTCCAGTTCCCGTACCCGGTAACGGTGGCACCGCCAATGCAGCTGCAGCGGCATTCATGCAACGCGGCGCCCAGGCACCATTGACATTCACCACGGCCACCTTTGCGCAAACTAAATTCGGTAGCACCAAGCTGAAGACCAGCTCCAAGCGCACAAACAGGTAAATGTTCCCAGTAAGATAGCATAATCTTGAAATAATTTAGCTGGATATACATAGTTTGCAACAAGAATAGATTTTAGCTGACATTTAACTTATTTCTGTCTCCTTCCTCTGATTCCGCAGCAGCGCCTATCGCATGTCGCCCACTGAGTTCTCCAACTACATCAAACAGCGTGCGATGCAGCAGCAGATGCATCATGGACATGGAGTTGTCCCGTCCGCCGGATCATCCGTATCGGCAGCATTTGGCGGCCTGGATGCCGTCTCGCCTGCCCGTTCCCTATCCCCGAATCCCCTATCGCTGGGCGGAAATCCGAATCAAGCTGGAGCGGGATCGTCGGCCGATTCGTTTTACTATCAAAACATGGCGATCAATCTGTATCCGCAATTTGGCAATCCACGCAGCCTCTTCGAGTCGCATTTCAATGCGGATGCCAGCAGCTTGGGTCTCTTTGTGGGTGGAACTGCTGGTACAGCTGGTGGTGCAGTCGCCGCAGGAGGAAATGGTGGCGCCAACAAGTATAGTACTTACCTGGAGCCGTGCTACTTTGGCAATGGCCATGCCAACTCACAACAGCATCCGCAGCAACAGAATCGCAGCGGAATGGATCGTCCAAAGAGTAGCGAAAGCTGCTTTGGCCTCAATGTGGATTGCGGTAGTGCCGTCCTCGAAGATTCATCATCATCGTCATCTGCAGCAGCTGCTGCTGTGGCCGTTGCTGTTGCCATCACCGGGGACTCTTCGCCGGAGAACAGTCCTCTTAGTACACCCACCGTGGCAGCCACAACCGCAGGAACAACAACCACTCCTCCTTCCAACTCCACCAACAACAGTAGTAGCCATCCAACTCAACAACAGGAACAACCGTCCTCCTCCTCGGGAAACGGAAACGGAAATCCGAACGCAAACGGAAACAATGGTAACAATTCGAACAGCAATACCAAACTGATCGATGGAATAAGCTCCTTCTATGGCACCGGATCATCCTATCAGCAACTATTGGTTGCTAACTAGAGTTTCCTCGAAGTTGATCACCGCAAAGAGAGTCCACCATAGTTCTATATATATATATCTATATATGTATATATATAAGCTAAATGGAATGTTCTATTCGGGGCATGAATCTGTATCTAGTGCATTTCGGTCTTTCTGGTCAGCACTTTATAAGCAATATGAATTGTTATGCAGTTTTGCGATTTCCTGTAAAAAACCCCAAATTTCCAGATAGGAACCGAAGCAAAGTAAAAGGAGCGGCTAGGAGTGACAGATATGGATATCATCATTATCATTATAAGCATCTGAGGAGGAAAGATACCGTGGTCGTTAAAAATCAAGGACATACATCTTTTGCCATTTTGGATAGTTATGTAATAAGTGTCCTTGCAGATAAGAACAGGCACATTGGATGCATATCTCAGTAGGAACGATTCGATACGATGTTGACACACCCACGATCAAACACACAAGAAAGGCACACACACATATGTGCATGCATATGTGTATATATGCATGAAGCTGTATGCAGATGTATACACAGATGCATATATATATATATAGATAGGGCCAAAAAGTACCATCCGTACGAGGCCCATACATGTAGATATGTACGAGTTGTATATACAGATATATATCAACCACTAATAATATTTATTTTGTTATTAAATTCAGAGTAATTCGCAAAGTGAAGTTTTTTTCTGGTATCAAGAGCATGCATAGAAAATTAACTCAACTCTATAGAGTGTACGAGTGTAGCCATAGGCACGTACGAATGATACACCCAAATCAAATCACACAAGCAAATGATGAAGATCTACCGAAACAAACCAATAAGCAACAAGAAATAATACCACAAATATAAATATATATAACGAGAACAACTAGAATGTCTCAACTAATTGTTTTTACTTGTTATGCATATGAACGTATATATAAAAATATATTTAATTATCCAGCTTAGGATCAACTTTAACATTAAGTTTTTAATTAGTTGTAAACTAAAGATAAGATAATTTTTGTAGATCAAGTTGTAGTTCGTCGAAAACGAAACAAGCAACATGCATATGTTTATTGATAAAAGTCAACATTGTTAATCAACAATAGAGATGCAACTTGCATACCCTGAGCATCCTGACCTGGGAAGAAAGTTTTTCTGGAGTAAAAAGTCCTTCTTCCCATTCTTTGTATTTTTATAAAATGTTTTTTTTTTTGTTTTGTATATATCTAGAGCTAGCTTGCAGAAAAGTTAACGAAATGTATTAAGTTTTAAAACTATACAAAATTTAAACAAAGATCTATACTTTTTCATACTACAAATTAAGTGTTTCGAAAGAATTTGTAAAAAAAATAAATTTAAATTGGCTTTAGCACAGGTATTGTTCTGGTAGGTAAGCTTTTGTTGAAACGTAAATTTGTTTGTTCTTAAAGATGTCCGGGTTCCCAATTTCAGACTGGAAAGTTATTAGATTAAACGAATACAAATAAAACAACTAATTGCTCAAACCATTAGATATAACCTAAACTCCTCCGAAACATTCTTAGTTATGTTAACTACACACCTATAATCCAAATACAATATTTCAAAAATGCAAAGATTAGGAAAAATGACCTTTTTTGAACACGTGAAAACACTTTCTAAGAAAAAGTAGAAAAACAAACTCCACCATCATTTGGCATAATCTCTTTTTTCCGATAAATAAATCTCTAAATGTTTTGTTATAAACTAAATATTGTTTTGCCTTAAACTTTTTAATCATTCGACTTCATCGAAATGAAATCCTATACCAGATAGGAAGTAATACGATATCGTATGATTTTATTGATAGTGCCAAGGTCGTCGGGTCACTGCTAAACTTTTTTACCCCTAAATACAAATTATTCAAGCTATGGAAGCTTTTACATATAAAAACACCTGAATAAATAATAAAAAAAAACATTTATATTTTTGTTGTATGTTAAATTGTATGTATTACCATTTGACTTCGTATTTTTTTGTATATATATATCTATTTTTATATGAACATTTGTAATTTTTATAAATCGAGTACAGTAAAAAATTTTATACTTTTTATATGGGCCTATGTGAAAATACCTTGCTCTATATGAATACTTACTTTAATTGAAAGGGAAAATAAAAAGCAAAAAAAAAACGAAAAACGATTTTAGTTCATCTTTTTTAAGTCCCAAATGAAAACCAAAATGTTAATGTAAATATGTCATTGAATGTATTATTTCACTTCTCGATATATGTTGTTCAATGGATACATAGTAAATCTAAAGGTATGAAAGTACTTTTAAGACAAGAAAGTAGAAAAAAGAAGGGATAAACAACAACAAATTGAGTAAGCAACTGAATTCATTCTCTATTTATCTTGCTAAGAAACATTTGTAATTTGTGTAAGTGTTCTGGTTATGTTTTTATTGTCTAGTCGAAGAAGCAAACACAATGTGGAAAACTTAACGAAAGCGCGGAAGATTTTCAGCTTTTTGGAGAATGTATTCGAATATGTACCTACACATCCCACAGATGTGTGTATCTAAACCTACCACTGAAAACAGAAATTTAATGAAACATTTAAGTACCTTAACGAAGCTTCTAATTATAGCTACTGTGACCACGAATAAGAGTCAAATCAAAGCCAAGCCAAACCAAAATACCCCATAAATGCTATATCAGTCGCACCTCAAAGTAATGGGTGCGGATTATAGATTGCATTGGGTCTATAGCTTTTGTATTCTGATCATAGTAGCGCATAAGTACCTACACACAAACATACATACACACACACATACACCATCTGACACTTGCACACATTAAGGATTAGGCACGTTTTTTTCTTAGACGTATTAAAGTGTATTTGAATTAAACAAGAAACTTGCAACAGAAAACGAAAAATAAAAACCAAACAATTTTGTACTTTTATATATATGATGAGTATATATATGTGTATATATATATATATATTCGTATACATGTATACATATGAATGCCTCTAAATGGTTCAACTCAACGGATTCTCAATGTATTTTTTGTATGTCTCAGAATGGTATGTCTCTGAATGAAACCAACTAACGAACAAATATTCATAATGTTAGAAATTGTCTCACATGCCATTCTCTAAGAAGTAAGCATATGGCACAAGTTAAAGCCCCAAAATATATGCAATCTGCCAATCTATCCTTACCTGAATCTGGATCTGAAACATAGAGCGAAATGGATATGGATATAGATATGGATATGACAATGTAGAGACGTGATGCAAAGTATTGGAACAGAATACGGGATGGCTTGCTTATAAAAACTATTGTATTGTGATTGTGATAACAATGTAAGGCACAGATAAAGATCGAGATACAGAGATGTGAAAAAACCGCTGCAGAAATGGCAAAATATTCATATGTATATGTATATAGATGGGGAAATTTAGATAAAGTATCCGCCTAATCATCGATGTCCACCAACTTCAAATTTTAACTCGATCGAGATGAAATTGTATCCGACCGATCTAATAAGCAAATAATGAACCATTATGGTAGACACACAAATATACAAAAGCAACAGCAAAAAAATAAAACGAAAAACCAAAACATATTTTACAATATGAAATAAATAAATAAATCCACACCAAGCAACATTTTAATACACACAATTCAAAAAGTAAAACGAAATTGAAGAGATCAAGCCAGATGTAGAAACAACTCACTAACTAAAGTAAAGTGCGACATTGGTACATGTATTTAGCTACAAGGAAGACAACCAAAAAATTAGATATAATACAGCTTTTTATACCTCAGATATGTTTCTATATGTATGTAAATGTACGAAGAGATATCTCTCACGCAATGCTATGTAACAAAAACAAGAAGGTATAAGAAATCAACTATATTTAAGCCCACTTATCTTCGATAAGGTTCATAAGTACAGATATTTTGATAGGTAGTTAGATGAAAACTCATTTACGAATGTAACTTTTATATATTTTTTAGGTAACTTGTTTTATTGATACGCGATTTCCAACATAAATCTAAATGTGCATTACCAACCAGACTCTTAAATAGTATTTCCGAAAATTGGTTAGTGGACACAGCTCTGGATGTTAGCGGGAATACAAAAATATATTATAAAATATGATATGATATGATATATGATATAATTATATCATAATCATACTACTGAAAAAGTATCAACGTATAAGAAACTGTACTTTCTATCATAAGTGTTATATTCTTTCCACGTTATCGGGCTTAAAAAAGTTTATATGATAAAAGATATTTTCTCATGCGTGTCTAGATTTTACATATGGTATATTCCCAACTAAACACCAAAAATTGATATGAACTTTTATGTGATCTCAGTTGTACAGTTATCTTCTGTTAAACGAGGCATATGTTTATATGTATGTATATTAATAAATAAACAACGTGAAAATTAAATTTAAAGGCTGAGAAGGCATACATACATACATTCACTGCATATGGACGTATTATGTTTTAAACTTCAATTCAAATAGATTTTGGTACCGATCGATATATGTATATGGCTTTCGTTGAACAGAAAAATCCGAAAGAGAAAGTAATTAAATTAATGCATATCAGTGATTACAATAACGATGTACATACATGCAAAACAATAACAAAATAATGTATATGTGTGACCTCATTAGCACACAATAATCGTGTATGTATATCTATTCTTAGTAACGAAATATTCAATCAATTTAAAACCCCTTACGTGTGTGGAAATAAACATAGAGGTTAATAATATAAAATGTATGTACTATGTATAGTAACAAATATAACTTCCATATGAGTATTTTTCGTATTACCTTTAGTAGAATAAAGATTATCGTATAAATAAAACGCATTGTTTATAACAGAACAAACCCAAAAACAGTGATCTGCTTCGATCACCGACTTAAACAATTGGATATTGTTAAAAAAAAACAAAAAAAAGAGTTTGATGTTTTCTCCTCACTGTTGCATACTTATTCAGTATTCTGAGAACAGATGTCCTTTTACAAGATTAGTACTCACGGCAAAACAAAAGCTCAAAAACTTTACCTATGGACGTACCAAGGTAAATTAGTTGAGTACTTTTTACCGTACCTAAATGGTACCGTAAATAAATGGATACATTTTACCCTTCCTAGGCACGGATTTTAATTTTCACTGCGTATTCGGCGTATTCGATACGTCGTGATTTTAAATTATTTAAGATTTGGGTTACATTTTTTCCCCCGTTTAGAACTTATTTGTAGAACTTCAAGCAAATACGTAAAATATTTCGATTTTAAACTAACAGGTATGAATTGAAAATAAAATTGAACAAATTAAACACCGGTTTACCGGTGTGCAATCACTTATTACACATCTTATTAACTAACTGCTTGTACCTTTTAATACCGAAAAACATTTAAATTCATTTAAAACGTTTTAGCACGAGGTGCCGCCATGGTTTTCTTTACCGGTGCGCGCAGAGGAAGAAAACGAGCTGAACGAAAAGAGGAGCTTTCAGTTTGAATATCATTTCAAATGTACATAAATGTATTTAAGAAATACATACATATATATAATTTCACAAAAAAACGTTTATTGACCTTTTAGTACAATCACTCTCAAATTTAAAGCAAACCTATAATGGTAAGTATGCATGAAATAAATTGGAAATGTAACGGTTTAAGTCCAAAGTGACGCAAAATACTAAGACACCATATCGATATTACATGAATCGAAAATGCGATTACTCATTTAGTACTAATGCTCTTATCGATTGTCAGTCGCATGTACTCGATATATCGATACAATCGGTCAGTGGTTAAGCCAGCTCTACTGCATATTATTTTGTTTTCTTTTAACGTTAACATTTCGTTTAAATATTATTTTAGTTTGTAACACTCCCGCAAATAATTATAAAGTGAGTGCTAGCGTGGAAAGAGGGAAAGAGGGGAAAATTAATTACTAATTTGATGAGGAAACAACTCGCAGCGGGTGGGGACATCGGACAGAGTTGAAACGAGAGAACGCTCTATATTCTCTATTATCAATGCTACCAAAGACCATGTACCGGCGCACTTGCTAAAATGACTCTGACTTCACCTTGACTAAAGTACACATAATGTACACACATTGCAGTGGGAGAGATGGCGAATTGGGATGATAACAGTTACTGATTTTATTTTCCAGTTTTCACCCTATATCGCTATATACATATATACTCGCCAGATCCTACATAAATCGAAAATGTTAAAGCTACGTAATCTATTGGCCGTCGGCAAAAGCAACAACAACGCTGTCCGGTAAGAAAAACAACATGCATATACTAAAAAAATGAATACAAAAAATTGACTACAGCTGTGCTGTCCATGTACATATTTAATCAGTGTTGTGGAATAGCCATAGGTACCTGTACTTGGATACCAGCTTGTGGCACTTTTCAATTGCCTAGATTACCTTGCAATTCAATACAAACGGGATATATAAAATATAATATAAACTTGTTAGTAAGATCAGATTTTAATAACAAATTTAATTCATATTATATGTATATAAATTGAAGTATTTATCAGGAACTTTAAATAATGTCATTTATATATAAATGTACTCCCACCTTGGTGCTCATTTTTATTAAAACTAACCATTATACCAAATTAGTCTCTTAAATTGGAAATATTACTTTTATTTATTCAAAATTTATTTATAAATATAAATATAAAGCAAATATATATATATTTATAAATACAAATATAAGCTCAATAAAAAATAATTTCTTACCATTTATCCTGGCGGACATACTTATCATTAAATATACCTATCTAGGTACCGTCCTTGTAGTTATACAAATCGCATACCCTATCCAGCACTGGTGTTCACACTCCTACACGTAAATATGTATGCATGTTTCGTTCCAAATTCGTACATGTGCATACATGTGTACATATATGAAAATGCCGTTGCTACGTCAGCAAGCAAAAACGTAGGCAAAAACAAAAAAACACTACGGTGCGAATTTTAGTTACCCTCCGTATATGAACACTGCTGGGGTATATTCTGTATTTTTAAGGTGTGAATACATTTTCCTCTGGAAAATTGGAAAAAAAAAATTAAATAGCCTTTTTCAATTTATTAGGTCAGTATAAAGGAAATAGCGTTTTTTTTTTTATCGTTTCTCCTTCGGTTTAATTTAATTGGCCTACTTAGAGCGAGTATTGATAAGCACCCTTCCACAAATTGAATATTATATCTTCAATCTGAATGATACACTTATTAAAAACTTTATCTAAAGGGGTCGGAAATTAATTGTGTAGAACGTATCTTTTAAAAGTGTATTCGAAGGAATTCCAAATAATATAATAATATGTAATATAATTAAGATAATGTACGTTGTATTTTTGTATTATAACTTGTTTAATGTACCCATTATTTGGACTTGTAGCTCCCTGTCCAACACTCAAAGCTGCAACGATTCGGAATCATGGTTCTCAAAACTGCTCGTTCGGAAAATAGAGCCAACCAAGGAGTCGCACAGTCGCATGCTCAGCGATAAGGAAATCATATATGCCCTTCATACCCACAACGTCAGGCCCGATTCCATGGGCAGCTACTTAAATAACTAGTAAGTGACTGAAACTAAATGCATTGCAAAGTACAATAAGATAGCTGCCGAGTACTGAGATTCACCTTTCTAGGTGGTTTCAAATACCTTAAGTTATGACCTCTCTCGGAAGTAGCATACCCATAGCATTGTTAAAAGTGTCTTTCCTTTCACAGCAAAACTACCGTCGCTTTGATCAACGAGAAGAAGGCAAACCTTTCCTGCGAGTTGGTGGCATCATGGTCCGTTCAGGTGGGCGACATGGATCAGTGCCTGCACCTTTGGAAGTACACAGGAGGCTTCGAGAAGATAGACCAGGCCAAAGAAGACCTTTGGAACGATCCAGAGTATCTCAGCTTGATGCAGGAGCGTTCCAAGTTCTTGCGCTCCCGTCATCTGCAATACCTCTTGGCATTCAGCTACTGGCCGCAGATCGCCAAACGTACCGGCAAGAACATTTACGAAATGCGGTATGTTGTAGGGTATTTTTAATTTGAAAATGAATAGCTTATTAACCCAATTATCTCAGCTCATACCGACTGACCCCTGGCACCATGATTGAGTGGGGAAACAACTGGGCCCGCGCCATTAACTATCGGCAGCATAACAACGAAGCATTCGCTGGATTCTTCTCGCAGATCGGAAGACTGTACAATGTCCACCACATTTGGTGTAAGTAAATCATGATTTACTTCTATAAATTCAAAAATCAAAAAGATATTTATCAGTGCATATCATGTACAAAGGTGGCGGAAAGGATGCAGCAATGAAATAACCATTTCTTCAATGCTGCATTCATTTGGCCAGGTCTTGACCATATAATTTTGGTATATTTCTGCTCCAAGCAGATTCATACATTGTATATAAGCTGTTTGCATTAATGTAAGCATTCACATTTGCCTTTCTTTCGAAAATAGGTTACAAATCTCTGCAAGACCGCAAGGAGACCAGGGAAGCTGCCTGGCGATCCCCCGGATGGGATGAGTGTGTGGCCTACACGGTGCCATTAATCCGCGAGATGCACTGCCGTGTCCTGGCGCCCACTGAGTTCTCGCCCTCACAATAATTAGCACTGGGTGTTACACTTTCTAGCGATCTGAGTAATTGGAGTTCATCAACGCCTGAACAAATTAGTTGTGGAAACTTCGAGAACGCAACTTCGCCTATTTTCCTGTTGAATAGTTATTGTAAATAATGCCAGCTACATATGCAATCATTTAATTTTTTTTTTTAAGTATAATTAAGGTCAAAGTGGAAATTTCTACCCAACATTTTTACGAACCTCTATGTGTACATCGCCTGCGACCTTTGAATTTAACAAAACCAAGTTTGTTTTTATAAAATAAAGCAATTATGAAACTGTTATAATGTTTTTATAATGGTTTTAAAAAAATATCCCAAAGAAAAGTACACGGTATTGGATATTCTTGGAAACCAGTCTAAAAAAATGTATTCAATTCTGAAGCACCCAATTCCATAATTACAAACAGCAAAATAGGTGATGAAAAAGTAGTATACCGCATAAAGTTTTAATCAGATCGTTGTTTTCTTGAAAAAACTTGTTATACTGTGAATTAGTGGTATAACACATAATAACGTATGATACATTTGATTTACCTGCTTAGTGGTTGAAACTTATGTAATTAATGCACATAATAACGTCGATCAATTTGTAATCGTCACATAAAAGTAAACTAAATATTTTGCTATCCTCGCCAGTTTTTTAACTCTTTAAGAGGCCTCATAACATGTGTGCGAGATATCAACATCATTACTAAATTAACTAGAATACAAGTTCGACGAACTTTTTTTTAAACCGTTGGGTTTTGGTTTTTAGGACTGTGGAATTCTAAACAAATTTTTAAGAATATTTTTCCAAACAAATTTAAAGTCTTATACACCGTAGGCACTATAACAAAAATATGTAATGAAATCGCCTTCTGATTCTGACCTTTGAACCCAAAACCGTTGTTTTGAACCAGCCAATTTCGTTTATACCTAATATTATTGGATAATTGTTTGTGAAAATCGAATGGCTATGGGTTTTTCGCAGTCCCTTCTCAGATTAAAGCCTCAGAAAAGTCGACTTTCAGTTTTTAGGCAAGTGAAGAGGAAAATGAGTACAAGTAGATGTCCCAACATCGCAAGGGAATAGATTTCGGTTCTTGATGCTATATTGTGCTGGACAGCTGCGGGTAGTTCACCTATAAGCATACAACATATATTAGGGGTATGATTTTAACTAAAATATGATTACTAATACCTGTGAGCACTTGAACTTGGACAATCACGGTAAATAGTCTGCCAAGAGAACAGGAATAGTTGCCACTATCGGATAGTTTGGCATCCCCAATGGAGATACGACTGGTTAGCCATACATCGGAAACGCTGCAATGTTCACATATCATATCCATATAAGAATTCTTATTAAGGAACTGTCATATTGTACTGCATTGTGTGTAATAATCTACCTTAGGCGCCTATTGGTCATTCCTTGAAGCGGTTCTTCGTCCTTTGCCCAGGTTATAAATTTGGTGAAGTATTTCTCCAGATCCTGGCCAGAGAATTTGTGTTGTGTCTGATTTGCGTTGCCAATTAAATTAAGCTCACTAGTCGTGTCATTGATTAGTTTCTGTACAGCATCGTTTGCAGGATCAGTTGATTTTAAAATGGTTTGACGTTCCTTTTGGAAAAAGCTACGCGATATTTGGCATTGTAGATCGACGGTGCTTCCTGACTTATAATAACGATCCCCCACGTCCCTCTCGTGTTCGTCGATTATCCTTAGGGGGGGTTCTGAAAGTGGAAAGCTTGACACGTTAGGCTCGTGATAAGGTTAGAAATAATGTGCTCCCTACCCAAGATAGTGAGATTTGTAGTGAATACCCGGGGAGGATGGGTGGAAACCTGGCACATGTAAACTCCGGCATCTTCAGTCTGCGTGGGATTGATAAGTAACCGCCAATTGTTCGGGTACTGGAACTTCACCCGAATCCTCGGGTCTCCACTGTAAGTCACGTTGCCAACGGTCAGGAGCGATACCTTCTCCGCCGTTCGCCTGACCCACATGACCTGGAAAGTGGTAAATACCAAATCTGATTTAAAGAACCCGCAAAATTACGGATATATGTATATACGTATGTAAATACATACGTACACATATTAAAAAAATATAGGTTAAAAAAAAGCGGAAACTGTAAAGAAACCCCGTAAAAGGGTATACTGGCCATGTCCGTCCGTCCGTCTGTCCGTATGAACACCTCGATCTCAGGAACTACAAAAGCTGGAATGTTCAGACTAAGCATGCAGCTTCCAGAGACAGACGCAGCGCAAGTTTGTTTCCAAATGTTGCCACGTCCACTGCAACGTTCACACTTTTGAAAAATGTTGTGATATTTTTAAATTTATTTTATATATTTTGTAAATTTCTACAGATTTCTCAAAAAACTTTTTGCCACGCCCACAAACCGACAAAACCGTCACGCCCACAATTTTAATAAATGTGATATTTGTTCACTTTTTTATATATCTTTTAAATTTCAATAGATTTGCCAAAAAACTTTTTGCCATCAACTCTCGCCCACAAACAGCACAAAACTTTCACGCCCACACGTTTAAAAATTTTTAATTATTTTGTAATTTTATTATTTTCTTCATAATTACTAATAATATTCCAGAAAATGTTGAAATTTCTCGTTTGCACTTCCACTAGCTGAGAAGCGGCTATCTGATATTAGGGGAACTCGACTATAGCATTCCATTTTGTTTCGATTTACTTTGTGTTGTGCTTAAAGGTGCTAACAATTATGTAAAACGCTAATAAGAAAGTGCTAGCAGGCCGGTGTAATAAGTTGCACTTATAATAATACTAATGTTTATTGTTAAACGGGCAAAATGTTGTGTGCTTAATAGTCTTCCGATATTCCAGTACACATATGTATGTACATACGTGTATGTATGTATGTGTACCCACAATACGTGTTATGTTTTGTTGCGTTTTGTGTTATTATTTTAAGAAAAGCATTTAAATTAAATAGTTACTAAATTATATTTATTTAAAAAAATGCATAAATGGCTTTAAAGAACCAGTTGTTTTTTGTTTTGTTTTTTGAGTGTCATTTTTAAGTGCAGTAAATAAAATACGTGAAAATATGTATATACTACATACATACAATAGTGAGTATATTGTGAGAGATACTTCATTTCTTATTATTTCCAGTTTTTTCATCACTTGTAAAGTCAATCAGTTGTGCAACCAATAGATATGTATGTATGCATGTATGTATGTACATATGTATGTACATACAGATCAAAATGGTTCACTTACAGTTTTGTCCTTGAGCATACCGACACGGCAATTGAGCACCGCTTCCGTAAACAAATGTACGGCGGAAACGAGGTTGTCACCCGAGGTTGCCGAGTTGATGGGCTCCTCAAAAAAGGGTCCCCAGTGGTGCTCGTGGTGGTGCTTGCTACGTGGTCGTTCTGTGACACGTGCGAATCCTGCCAAAATTTAAAAAAGTTTCCGAAAAATTAAATCCAAATTAAGAGTATACATATGGATGTATGTATGTACGTACATATGTAAATATGTACACAAAGAGTGGTTAGTGCGCTTTCTTTTAAGAAATGCCATATAACCTTTCGTTTTCTTTGAAGAAACAAATTGATGTAAACAAATATTGAACGTGTCTTTTTTATCATAACACTTTTAAAAATAGTCACACAGATAAAATATTGTCTGTTTTGTACAACCTATTCCCAAAGCTAACGACCAATATCTGTTTTTAGCGAATTAAGAAAGATAAATTTTGTTTGATCAATCTCAAAAATAACATACATATTTTTAAATTTGAATGCCAACTAATTTGAAATTTAAATACGACTTGAACCAGGTATTCCATATTCGGACAATTATTTTCAATGTTTTGGCCAAAAAATATTATTTTTGGAGTGAAAATCAGGAAAACGTTTTTATGATTTTTGTGGTTTTTTAATTATTATATGAATCAATATATAGCTATAGAAATATGCAACTGTAACAGCGTTTTAGCCACACTAACGACCTTTTGGCTGATTTAATTTACATCATTTTTTTTCATTCAAATTCTGGAATTGTTTATTAAATTTTTCCAAAAATGTCAAAAAATTTAATGTCACAAACTTGAATGCCAATCGGATTGAACATTTCATAACGAGCTCAGCGTAGTATGGCAATCCACCTTTCGACCATTATTATTTTGGTTTTGATCAAAAAATTGTTGCTTAAAATTCAATATTTACGATGGGTTATTCCATCAAAACTTTGTTAATTAAATTACCAATGCTATCCCACATACCACTTGCTGTCCAATGATTCCTCGTGCGCGTGGAATCGATTGGCTGTTTCATGGTACTCCTGTCGACTTTCAGGGATGCAAATGCTGTGGTGGGCATGGTCACAGTCGTTAGCTGATCAGTTGTCCCTACATTTTTGATTGGAAGGCTATTGCTGCTAAACTCCATGCTGCCCGGTGTCTCCACGGGTATTTTATCCCGACTCATTTTCGTGGGAATGGGACTGTACGGAGCGTTAGACGCCTCGACTGGCAATTGGGAATGGTCCTCGTCCTGATCCTGCGATGAAAACGCGTAAAGGGTTGCCCTTGTGGCTGACAGGTAATCAGCAGTTGATAATGTCGATTTAGTTTTATTATAGTCATCAAAAAGTAATGTACGATTCTTGCCGTTTCTGGATTGTTCACTTGCGGAGGGGGATTTTGTTTCGACGGATGCCGTGTCTGGATAAAGGGTTAAACAATACAAGATACAATAAATAAAATAAATACTTCAGAAAAATTATGTACATATAAATGTGAGTTAAGCTACGCAGATAAAACTGACAACATTTTAAATTATCCCATTGTCTTAAAGCAAAATTCTTACGAATATGCAATATTTGTGGGCTTGGGACTATTTGAAAACGTGGTTAGGTTATTAAATGAGTAAAAATATAGTAGGGATGGTAAAAATAAAAGTCCTAACTATTCACAGAATAAAATACAAATTTTTAACTTTAGTTATAACTAAAGGTTTAAAGACGTAAATATGTGGGATTATTTTTATAGCCACTTTATATAAAATCTAATCCGTTGCAATTGTGAAATTTAGATTTTATATAACAACAGTTTAGTTTCTAATTTCCTTTTTTCCTCTTCTTTACCACATACACATTTTCTTTATTGCTTCCCATTTAAAATGTTTAAATATTTC